TCCCCTAAGTCTGTAGAGCAAGAAAAAGCCCTACAAGCATGTCCACATAGCTCCCAAGATGCTTCTGAGAGCCAGGCTCCCTCTAAGAAGTACACGTGCTGATGTGAACAAGGTGAAAGGGGGGGACAGGAATGGAGGCCATATCAGAGCAATTGTGCTAAGGCAGGGGCGGCTGAGCTTACAGGGGTCTCTGGAAGGGATTAATACATAGGTAGAGCCCAGGACTGTGAAATCTCACTTGTCCTCTCGAGTCTGTGACAGCCTTGCAGGGGAGCAGGGAAGGAGCTATGCATGCCATTGTGACAAGGCACTAGTTGGGAAAGATAGACATTAATTCATACTTGTAAAAAAAGCCCAGTGCTTTCACCTGGGTGAGAGAGAGAGAGAGAGAGAGAGAGTGTGTGTGTGTGTGTGTGTGTGTGTGTGTGTGTGTGTGTATGTGCTTGAACACTTTCATTTTTGAGACTAAAAATACCAAGTGGCCAAGATATTTATGTGATGAAATTGCAAACAATCATTGTAACCTGAGGATCTCTGGTCACCATTCTATGCTGCTTTAGAAAAAACTTCAATCTATACCCTCCTTATATCCGAGAATCTACTTGAGTACACCACCACAATGTAAAGTACAACACAATATAGTGAGACAAAATAAAAAAATGTCTTTTCAAGAGCATAATTGTAGTTAGAAAAATGGGAATTTACAAGTATAAATATGTAAATCCTCTAGGAAGTGTATAGATTGAATGGAACGGTTTATGTAATGAATGTTACACATTGGTGTTTCTTGCAAGCATTTGTTATGATAGTAATAACGTGCTCTGTACATATCGTTTAATCAAATTAAAACTTTAATGTCAATAAAACTTCATGAAACTTCCTTACAGAATATTTCACAATATTGCTTATCTTTTATCTTTAAATTTTGTTTATATTATGGCTATTATGTAAAGTAATATACATATAAGAAGAGTATTCTTCAAAAATGCAATATTGTATTGAAGAACCGCATAGGTATATAAATATCAATAAGTATATATAAATATATATATGCATAAATCCACACATATGCCTTCCAGTTAATATCATAATTAGAAATGAGAGCTATTACTTTCTTTTCTGTGTGTTTGATTTCAGGTAACAAAATTTCATTTCATTCAGTCATTCGTTCTTTTAAACATTTATTTATATTGTTTAAGCCATTACAGTTGTCCCCATTGTCCCCATTTGCACACCTTTACCCACACCCCGCACCTTCCCTGAGTCCATCGCTGCACTGTTGTCTGTGTCCATGGGTCAGGCACACATATTCTCTTGCAACAACCTTCCCTTCTCTCCCTCCTTTCTCTCTCCTCTTCTCCCCTCTGACATCTGTCAGTCTGTTCATGTGTTGGTGGCTTTATTGCTATTTTGTTCAGTGGTTTATTTCGTTAATTAGACTTCCCATATGTGACACCTTAAGGTTTTTGTGTTTCGCTGGCTGGATTATTTTGCTTCACACAATAATCTCCATGTCCACCCATGTCATTGCAGAAGGTAAGAGTCTTTCTTTACCTTTTTATGTTATTATTGCTGAATCATATTCCATTGTGACAATGTACCACAAGTTTTTATTCACTCATCTTCTGGTGGACACTCGGTCTGCTTCCAAGATCTTGGCTTCTGTAAGTCCAAGGCACATAGGGGTGCGTATATTGTTTCTAATCATTTTATTGTGATTCTTAATATACTTCCTGAAGTGGGCTTCCTGGGACAAAGGACAGTTCTGTCTTTAAGTTTTGAGGAAACTCCATAATGCTTTGAAAAATGCCAATACCAGTAAAGAATTGTGATGAAATCTGCAAAGTGCTGAAAAGCAAGTACATGCTACCGAGACTAGTCTACCCAGCAAAGCTGTCATTGAAAATGGAAGGAATTACAGGAGAAATGAAGAACTTCTCAGCATCCAGCAACAACCTAAGACTCTGATTCATCAGGAGGAAGACACTTCAGTTCATGATGCACAAAGGTTATCCTCCGGTAGAAGGAGAAAGAATCCAAGCAAGCTTCCCAGGAATGGCCCACTCGATCACCTGCTTCTAAGTTCTTCCAAGGAGCTTCATTGGTCTGACTGAGGTAAACATGTCTGGATCCCAATAAATGATTTGTGGTTTGGATGCAAGCAGGAGGGGGGCGGCAAACAGCTCAGGTTAAAGAGAGGTGAACACATCATGTGGATACAAAGGCAGCATGGGCACCATATCTCCAATATTGATTCTCCAAATTCTTACCCTGGGAGCCCCCTTAAGCCCCATGCTTGCCACTGAGAGTCTCTCATGGTGTCCACATGGGGAGTAAAGGAGAGCAACACAACCTGAAGTTATTTCGTGACTGACCTAAAACTTCTGGGGACTTCTGGTGCCCTCTAAAACTTTTAAAGCATGCTGTTATGAGCGCGACTGGATTCAAAATCCCGAGAATGTCAGCAAGACCCCCTTCCCAAAAGAAGGGTCCTCTCATCCCTGTGCACCTGTTACCTTTGTTTTCCTTTCCAGTGTTGCTGTTTTTCCGTTGGATTCTCTTTGTTCCTTATTTCCATTTCAGCGCGTGTGTTTGCCTCAGTGCGTGATGGAAACTCTATTCCCCAGGGGATATGTCCGTCAGCCTCTGGGCATAGCTCTTTAAAAGAACGTCCACCGTGGATTAGGAAGGAATTGTTGCCTCTCCCTGGCCCATCAATGTAATGGGGGCCCATTGACTGCCTTGTTCGAACAAAACTGTCAGCAGCAGTGAAAAGCGACCAGCTTCTCTTGTTGTACGCACCAAACAGCAACACAAGGCTTAAGTTCAGCACAGTGACAATTTCTCTTGGTGTCTTCTACCCCAACATACCACCATACCGAGCACCTTTGTCCAAGTGTGCAGCCTACAGTGCCACATACGACGCAGGTTGCCCCAAGCTGACATGAGAAAATGTCTTCTGCAGGATTCCCACTCTGCTGTGCTTGACCCATGTTTGGGAAACCCAGCCTCAGTGAATGTCACCAGTCCACACTGACTGATACTCGCTATTTTGAACCAGCGAGACACGTCATTTCATGATCCAGGGAGGTTACGATCCTCTAACAGTTAAAAGGGACAGGATACAAGCGAGCTACCCAGGAATTGCCAACTCTATTACCTCTCTTAAGTCCCAGGATGGAAAATAAGGCAACGCAGAAGCACGGAATTTCCTTAGGGTTCTTTTCTTAAGGAGGCACTATTTCTACAGACTGGGATTTTGAGAAAGGCTTCGACAGACGTTGGAAGGACACGTTAGATGTATGTTGGTGGCAGGACCACATGGGGAGAAAAGAACTGAGCACACACAAGTCTTTCAAAGGTCTTTTGGTTTGCCTTTGTCAAAAATTCTAAACATGCAGGGATTACATTATTTATTTCTGTTTATGAGTATTGTAAGCTAATTGTGACAAATCTGAATGACTTCATGTTGAAATAGTTAATAAATAAATGGAACTATCTAACAGCTTTTTTTTCATGACGGAAGGCCTCACTGCCTGGCAGTGAATATGTCCACAGCCCTTTCTCTGGTGGAGGTGGTTTCCACCTGTCTCTGCCTCTCTCCTCTTGCCCTCCTCTAGTCAATGCCGCTCTATGGTGAAGCTCATGTGTCCCTGAGACCATTGAAAACCCATACTTTTAGACAGCTGTATTTACAACAGTGTGTTTTTTAAGTTAAGCAACATGCTTCACAGACACACATGGATAGACTTGCCCAGAAGTCAGTTTATTGAGTACTTAGAAATGCAGTAACACAACACAGGATTTGAACTTTGATTGGCAGGGAGAACAGAGAGTGAGCTCATGAAGAGAGACAGATGACGCTGGGCAAGAACAAGAGGTGAGTTCTTCTTACGGTTGATCAGATTCCATGGAGAACACGTGCCTGGTTCTCAGGATTTAGTCCATGGGAGAGAAAAATGGGCCTGAATGTTAGGTGAGTCTATAGGGTGACACCTTGAGTGGGGAACTTGCAGGACATGATGTTGAAGGGTTAGACGAGGTGGTAGTGAATTCCTTTCACAAATTCCCAGAGGCACTGGGTCCTCTCCATCTCTCTAATGTGGGAGGGAGTGTTTGGAATCTCTCTAGGATGTAGTTTTGGTGGGATCTTCCTATGCAGGAGTTTCGTGATCTCAAGACATGTCTCTATGGGGATGGGATGGTCTTCCTAAACGAGATTTGAAGTGGGTCTGATAGATTTACAGTTCTGTCCTCAAATTTCTAAGGTTTCTGAGGCTTCAGATTTATAGTCATCCTGGAAGCTAACATTGTGGGTTTTGTTTTTCAAAAGATAGAAAGAAGCACATGTTAGCTTGGACCCATGTCATTGTAGAAGCCATGATACTTTAGGAAGTTTCTAATAATCAGAGCATAATCAAATCATCTGCAAAGCAGCGCATGCCTCATAGTGTGGCTGGAAATCTCCTGGTGGCTGTCACGATGAACTCAGCCCTCATTGCTGCCCAACATCCTCTGTCCCTCTTCATGAACTCAGCCTCTTTCCTTCCAGCCTGTCACCCTTCAGAGCCTGTGCGGATTTGTGGATTTTGTAAAAGAAACTTTGTGTTTGCCTAAGTGGGGATTCTCCTTCAGATCACTTTCCCTCCGGAAATGATCTATGCGAGTCAAATGAGGAGTCGAGCCCGAGTGGAAGACTCATGGTTTTCTGTCTCAGTAACGACTCCTGCTAGTTCCTGCTTCTCCTTCCAAACTAACTTTTTTGCATGACTCTGCTATGGTAACACTTTGAGAGCACAACTCCATCAGTATGAGTCCACTTTCCCTCTTAGCCATCTCATGGTGCTCAGAAGAAACTCAATATGTAATATCACAGGAACAGCTATCTAGTGGCAGAATTTCCTTGTTGGGAGAGAACGTGGTTAAGTAACATACAGCAGCTGCGAGGTCCAAGGGGTGCTTATTGCATTGCTTGAGAACAGCTTAACCACAGCTCATTGGTACTTACTGCCTGTGAGAATCGAAGACTCTTTTTGTTAATTTTCAGGACAGTTGTCTGTGGACAAAAGAAAAGGAAAGCAAATAGAAGCGCAGCCAGTCAGTGCCGGTATCCAATATTGCCGTGATATTGTTAATTGGATTGTTAATTTTGTTTCTTGAAACAACTTATTATTTAAAAAGTGATTTACAGAGGAGGAAATTTAAGATAACAACTTGTTTCCAAAAAGATTTTGTCCACACCAATTAAACTGGTTATTGAGAAAATGTATAGTGACATTACCAAATTTGATTATATTCACAATATTCCCTTCCGGAATATTCCTATCCCGAGTCAGCTCCATGAACTTCTCAAAATCTACCTCAGTCACATGGTTTTCTCTGCCTGAAAGTAACCACAGAAGATGCACAAATTTGCACATTAGAAATAATGAAAATTTCTGAATCTGCGAATGACAAAAATCAATGGGAGTCAGGCCTTCATATGATAAAATACAAGAACCAGAGGTCACTTGTAGTTCATTCCAATTTTAGCTGCCTTAAAAGAAGCTCAGAGGCAGAACGTAGCCTCAGCCTTCTGTGCTGCTATTCCTGCCTCTCTTGCTGAGGTCGGAGACAGCCAGGAATGCTGGGAATTTGTGGCCCTTTCATCTAGAACCTCTACCTGCTTCCTGGAATCTCTGCCTGTCATTGCTGCGTTGTCCTGACCAACATAAACTGAAATGTGTTTTTGACCATTGAGAGAACCAGCCTTGTCCTCATAATTGAGCCAGGCTTTGTGGTCTCTTGTTAGACTACTTCTTTCCCCATAATTTTTGCAAATAAAAGCCCATAGGCTACATGTCTAATGCACACTTCTTAGAGCCCCTCTGTCATTTATTAGAGTTTGAGATTCTCAAGCTTCATGAGACTGATGATGCATGGGGAGTGGTAAACATTATGAAGGTTTATTAACAAACTTCCAGTCCGAGGCTGATAATCTTTTGAAAAACTTGTTTACGATGGTGGAGTGGGGTCAACTTACCCTGAACATGGGCTTACAATCTCTTGATGTGTTAAAAGAAATGTTTCTGTTGAAGCTCAGTTATTAAAAAATTAAGAGGCAGACACTATTTCCAAATGCCTGAAGATCTGAAAGCCAACCCGCAACTGATCTTCCCGTCAGCATCTTTATAGATTGGATTCCAAGTACCTTAGCTTGGTGATGATAAAACCCTCCTAGCAATAATAAATAATGCCAGAGCCAATAGATTCTGAAACTATGAATACCAAGAACAGAAATGACAATAACAAAGGAGATGATACTCACCGACTAAAGCAGTTATAATGGTGACCTCATCATTTTCATCCAGGTTGATGAGATATACCATCAGTAATGTTTCTGATATGACAATAATTTCATAAAGATTTGCACCTGCATCTGTGAGAGACAGAGAATATATAGAGAGATGCAGAGTTAGAGACTGTTGTCTTAAGTTATTGTAACTTAGTTTATCAAAGCTTATTTAACATATGGGAGCAATGCTTCCTATATTGATCATAACTCCAATGATACATCAAATGCTAAAATTGAATCTAAAATCTAAAAAAAATAGGAACAAACTTTCTTTAAGGCCATCTTTGTATGCTCTTTAACATCTCACCATTTCTAGTCTTCCTAAAATGTTTTGTCAAAACTGGTGTCATGAAGCCAACATACTGCTCTAACAACATGAGCCTTTTGTTACATGCATGTAATCAAATGGAAGAGTAAAATCTTCTTGTATTTCTCCTATCTCACAAACAGGATTGATTTTTTCTTGGCATGCAAATCAATTTACCATCAGTACAATGGTGGAATTGTAGGTGTATCCCAAGGGTCTTGAGCCATTGAAAATTTAGAATGTTCTTGAGGATCTTTAGAAATTATTAAAGAGAAAGATATCCTAACAAACATGCCCACTGCTTAGTACAAACACCGAAGTGTGGTTATGTAGAAGTGTGTTTGGTGTTTCTAATCACTAGGAGTTGTTTCAATTTTACCTACATCAACTCTATATTGAAAGAATAAAGGTGTTAAAAGATTATGAAATGAGTATTCATTTAGTGCGAAATGACATGGATCTCTAGTGCACGTAGGCCTTTTGGGCTTGACTTCTTTAGGTTGTATGGAAAAACCATGAAACATTTTTACATACCTGAGAGCCTTATCTAATAAACATTTTCCACATGTGACCTTACTCATAACCAGTCAAAACTGAAGGAGACTTGAAGGCAATATTAAGTAAATTTTATGAAGGAGCAAATTAATATACCAGGAAACTGAAGGGTGCTGATTATTTATGGATTTTAATTCAGATTTATGAAGGTCTTGGAAAAAACTGAGAGCAACATTTCAATCCTGAAATCATTGCAGCCACAAGGCAAGTGTACTTACAGTCAACAGCAAAAACGGTGCCGTGGATCCTTGTCCCCACTGCAGTCATTGGCACACATTGTCCATTTTCCCTTGAAAGAAAAACATCCACAACTTGGGTGATGGGGAATAATAACACCTTCCTGGCTAAATAGAATTTTCTCTCTATCCCCCTCCCATGACCCTGAAGAAGGTATCCTTTAAGGTCTATGGTCAATACTGTTAACAAGAGAAAGAACTTCTCATCCAAATTAAATGACAATCAAGGGACAAGGATGTCATTGTCTCCACTAGAAATCACAGAGTACTTCCAAAGGGACAGCACCTATCAGTAGGACACATTTCTCACCACATGGCTTCCACGTGTATCTTCAGAAATTATATCTTCAGAAATAAACTTCATGGAGCTCCTTTTATTGATGACTTCTGAATTTGTGCTTAATTTTTATCAGAAAACTCTGGTGCCCCTATAATTCAGTTTCAATTCCTTCCATATTCCTAACGTGCATGGCTCTCTCTCCTATATCTAAACCTGTAGTCATAACTTTCTATGTCTGGGTATTTACAAGTGTAGAAATATTTCATTCATATCTGTATCTTCCTATTGCTTTGGCTTGCATTTATCCTCTTTATGTAAGCAGCAAATTTATTTTTTTTAAAATTTCAGTTACGCGTTCTTTGCAATCCAATTATACATGGATATGAAGTATGGTAACACATAAAAATTGACAATGCCATCACTACCAATAATGTAAATATGTGTTTCAGTCTTATGAAGAACAGGTTTCTCAGCACCACTTGATGTTTTTGGATACGCTGAATGTCTTAGATTTCTATTATTTCTTCTGTTCATTTACTTGGGATTCTTCTTCTTAAACATAAATTTTGGTGTGGCAATTATTTTTCTATCTGAAATAATTTATTAACATGTGTGACAAGATGTAGTACTCTTTTAGTAATACAAATGAAGAGTGTGCGTGTGTGTGTGTGTGTGTTTGTGTGTGTGTGTGACTGAGAGATAGGAGCGCCAGAGAGAGCTGACAGAGAGTGAGAGACGAGACAGATATGTAATACTACAGTGTCCTCATTTGCTATGAAGGCTTGTCTATTGATCCACATCATCAAATTGAGAATCAAGAGTGAAATTTGAGATTGAAGCTTTGTTTTTCTGATATGTCATGAGTTCATAGAAAGCATAAGTGTAAAGTAGAATTTGTCAGCTTCTTTATATTTCAGGAGACATCCATATCGAGTATGGGGCACTTAAAACTAATAGTGGGAGAAACAAGACCCTTCATAACCAAGTACAATTCTTCCTGCTAACATCTGCTTCCACAATACCCTCCAACATTTGATGTGCTGGTCCCTGGCTCTGCCACCCATGCCCCAACATGTCATTTTAGATTAGTGGTTGCTGGTGACTAGGGGAATATTTCTCATTATCCTGTCTCCTTTCTCTGAAATTCCAGCCCCACCTTTAAGTTCATCGTAAACCTGTCACATTGCCCCTATTGCTATTCAGACTCACAGGACTGTATTCATTCCCCGTTTCAGGATGGTAACTTTCATATCATTTACACCATTATTACAGAGATTCACACAGAGTGTCATTACTAATTTCAACATCTGTCTCATTGAATCTGTTTGACCATTGAAGGTTAACAAGGAAGCTTTATGTTCCTTCTCCTTTTTCTTAACAACATGCCAGCAATTTGCAAAACACCCAGTCCTCTTAACGAGTTGCACAGTTCATTCGATATTGATATTCATTCTTCGGGGTAGAGATCATCTGTTATGTACCTGCTAACATTGCTCTGGAATACAAGTTCTTCAATGTGAACTATCATTTGCAATTTCTACACGACCATGCAGGCTCATATAAGGCACAGTAGGGACTGAGAAATCGAAACCCTTGTGGCCGGTTTTGTTCCCCTTTGCTTAGTTAGATGATTCCTGGTGTTGCTTCCATGGTTCTTTATTGTCTAAGCAAAGGCTTCAGGATGATTTCTAGATTTTTTTAGACCTGTGTGGACATCTCCAAAGTTCCTGGTAGGCACTGAACTCTTTGATGCTCTTGAACATTACCCATATATATTAGTGCCAATAGGGAAGTCAGACCCTCTTTCAAACATTTATACATGTTTTGTGCCTTATTATTACTTACTTGACATAAAATTGGTAAAGAATATTGCCATTTTCTCTGTCAAAATTAACTGCACGAGAAAAAATCCTGTAAGGACCGTTGTCTAGTATCTTTGCTGGATTACTGGCGGCTACATAAAGGGTCCTCCATTCTCCTGAAACCTAAAAGCAAAATCTCATCAGAAATGGTAGTCAATATTTATTTAAAAATTTTGTCTGACCTCATTCATCATGAGTTTCTCATTCCTTGTTGACCATCACAAAACCATGCATCCTTACCAAAGGAGGCAGGATTTGGAGAATCTCTTCAGTTCCCAAGCTAGCAGACAAACAGGAAACGAGATATTCTTCTAATAGATTAAGCAATGTTATCAAATGCAATAATTCCCACTCCACACTTTTTTAGCTGAAGCACGTTGGGTCTACAAGCACAGATGAAATATATAACTATTGACTTTGTAGACTCTACCAACAACGCAGTGTCAGCATGATTCACGTGCAGTGGAAATGTGCTGGATGTCTAAAAACTTCATTTACTTTTTCCATTCTCTGGCTCTTATGGAACTTACTTCTCTTTATTTTCATTCAAAACAGTTTTCTTAGGTTGTATTTTGACAGCTGGCATACCAGCATGCACATAAAAAATGTTCAAAACTGGTGAATGTTTGAGTAGCCATTTTAATATTGAATACTCCAAGAGATACGCTACATTCTAGAGGTAAGAAAGCAAAGCATTATGGGCTATTATTTTAAGTAGGGAAAAATGAAACTGCAAAGCAAAAAAAGTTTTATGCAAAGTAGGAAAAATCAGATGTGACTTACTGAATGTTCCTAAAGTGGTTTGTGATGCAAATTGGTACTCTTGTCATTGTACCAAAAATTCTTTTCTGAGGGACTCTCCTATGCATTCTAAGATTATGAGCAGCATCCTTGGCGTCTACCCTGGGGAAGCCAAAGTGGGAGATAGCTGACACACTCAAAATTACCAAATCCACAAGGTTACTCATGAAAATGAAAGGTGTGTCATTTATATTCCAGAGTAAAAATGAGACTATTAAGGACAACTTCTCAAAGGCGTTGATTTACAGAGCGATTCTACATTGTAGGAAGGTGGCTGAGCTTAGAGGTCCAGAAATCTTGTACACATATAAGGATTCGAGAAGGAGAGAAACAGGGACACTCTTACACATACAGAAGGCTTTTCTCAGGTACCTGTGACAGGTCTTCTGTTGACAGGTCAGCACGTACCAGACCGAGAAGAAGAGTCAGCAACAGGACCTTCATCCTTGGCTTCTTGCTCTACCTCTGATGGAGGTGTTCACAGTGACTACCTGTTGGGGAGGTTCTGAATCTTTGCCTCTTTATGTACTATTTGCTTGTGGAGGTGACATGTGGTGAATCTGTCTATTGAATCTGTCATTGTAAGACACCTTTTTGGCACATTGGGAATAAACATCCTGGTGCACTGTAATGCATGCTAAAGTTCTTTCAGATCTTCACCACATCCTTATTTTCCTTCCTGCTACTGGTTTACTCTTGCATAGATTTCCACCCATTTTTGGAAAATAATGTGCCCTTGACCTTTCACTTGACGATTTTCAAGGAAATTACACTTGTGACTTTCACATTCCTCCTCTGTGCTCCCTGTGGAAAGGCAGAATGGTCTACATTTTGTGTTTTGTGAATCATGAGCTCAGAGATGTGAATGCCAAGATCTGGGGTGCAAAGGCTTGGCTTTTGCCTGGGCTCAGACATGGGTGAGGTGCTGCTGTAGGCTGTTCCACGAGGTGAGTCCCTTAGGCCAAACTTTGGAGGGCCCTGAAATTGTGTTTCTCTGTCACTTTTGGTATGAATATATTCTCTTTTCAAACATATGGAAAGCTGGTGGCAGAGTGCTTACTCTGGTGGGAGGACACATCTGAATCAGGTCATTATCACTCAAGGAAATCAAGATATCTGTCCACAAACAGGGGCATTTTAGAAGATGCTAATAATATCAATTTCTTCAAAATGACCTCAAGGTGCTCATCATATTCACAACATCATACAGTGAACAAGAATTTCTATTCATTTCCTTTTGTGTTTTCCAGGGTCCACTAAACTTCACACACTCAAACTACCATCATGCTCCCTACCCAGGGGAATTGTGAGATCTTTTTGTAAGCCAGCTTCTAATTCATGCAATGTTAACACTAGAAATAACAGTCTATGGGGTTTTGTGCATAGAGGAATGTTTGCTTTCCCACCCCATGAGAACCATCTTTTTGTGCCAAGTGTAAATACAATCATAACCCCACTAAGAATGTATATCCTAGAAAAACTCCACCAGATTACAACGACTTGGATTACAGTTATCACTGTGTCATTTCAAAAGGACTTGTTAGTGAGCTCACACTCAGAGCTGAAGTCACAGCCCTCAAAAAGTACTTATGATACTTCATAATTAGTTATTAGTATTAGTCTTTACTCTCAGTGTTGTTATTTAGATTCAACCTCAGTGCTATTGGAGACCGAGCGGAGGGGGTAATGGCTCAGACAGAGAAGGGACAAACCTCACATCCCCCATGACACAGCAGCTCTGGGGCTCCTCACCTTTCCTCTGGCACTTTCTCTCTGGAAACCCACTCCACTCTCATCTTCATGAGTATCAGTAAAGTGGAGGAAATATCCACAAACTAGTCCATGTAGGTCAGGAGACATAGAGTGTAGCCCCTGAGACGCCACTGAGAGCCACTCTAATGCCAAGAAGTGCATGTGCAGGTGTGAGTGGGTAATTAGGTGTGTATAGGATGGAGGACACATGGCAGTGGTTCTGCCAAAGCTGGAGAGGCTGAGCTCACAGGGGTCTCAGGGAGGTGACCATTACACAGGTACAACCCAGGACTCTGAAATTTCACCTCTCCATTGTGGCCATAACAGCCTTGCAGGTGAACAAGGAGGGAGCCACACATGCCACTGTGACAAAGGCACTGGTCAGCCAAGATAGCGATTAATTAATACGTGTGAAAAAACCAGTGCTTTGACCTGCATGACAGTGTGTGAGAGTGCGTGAGGTTGAACATTTGCATTTGGGAGACAAAAATACTGGGCGGCCAAGACATTTCTGTGATGAAAGTGCTAACGTCTATTGTAGCCTTCGGAGCTCTAGCCACCTTTCCATGCTGCTTTTCTTAAAAGCTTCATTTTATACCCTCTCTTCTTCAGAAACCCTACTTGAGGACAGCACCATAGTATAAAGTAAAACACAATATAATGAAGTAAAATAAAACAATGACTCTTTAAGAATATGATTTTAGTTCAAAAAACTGGCAAATCATAAATATCTGTGTATAAATACTCCATGCAATGAATTGATTGAATTAGTTTCAGTGTACAAATGTTACACATTGGTGTTTCTTGCAAACTATATTAAAAACCACAGTATGTTAAAAACATTGTTTAAACTATGTTATGTTAAAAATAACATGCTCTGCATGCATTTTAATCAAATTAATGAAGTCCAAGTGTCAATATTCTTTAGAGAAACTTCCTTAAGATAAATTTCCCAAAATTGTTTGTTTTCTTTTATCTTTTATAATTTTTGCTTACATTCTGCCTATTAATAACAAAATAAACATACAAGAATAACATTCTTCACAAAAGCAATGTTATATTGAGGAACCACAAATCAACATAAATAAACATATGCACACATATGTCTTCCAGTTAATTTCATAATTCAAATGAGAGCTTTTATTTCTTTTATGTGTGTTTGTTTTCGAGAATAAAAAATGTTTTTCATTCACTCCTTAAATATTTATTCCTATTGCTTAACCCATTATAGATGTCCCCTTTTCCCCACTCACTCACCTTTACCCATCCTCCCCGCTTCCACGATTCCATCACCACTCTGTTGTCTGTGTCCATGGGTCAGGCACACACAGTCCCTTGCTACACCCATCCCTTTCTCTCACTCATTTCTCTCTTCCCCCATCCCCTTGAGAGCTGTCAGTCTGTCCATATGTTGGAGCCTTTATTTCTATTTTGTTCATTATTTTGTTCATTAGCCTTTCCATATAAGTGAGACCTTATGGTATTTGCCTTTGGCTGGTTGGGTTATTATGCTAACACAATATTCTCAATGTTTTTTGTTAATTAATTAATTTATTTTTTCAAATAAATTTGTCTCTGCCTTTCCCCCACCACTTTTCCTTGCTCCCTCCCACCCCAACCCCTCCCCTTTGGTTTTGTCCATGAGTCCTTGCTACATGTTCCTTGACTTGCCCTTTCCCTTCCTTTTCCCCCTGCCCATCCCCCTGCCTTCCGTCTTGTCTCTGTTGGTTTCCTTTCCTTCAATATTCTCAAGGTTTGTCCATGTTATCATAAGATGAGTTTTTTTTTTTAAATTCTTCATTGGCGAGTCACATTCCATTGTGAAAATGTACCATAGGTTTTTATTTACTCATGTACTGGTGGGCCCTTGGTCAGTTTCCAAAATCTTGGCTTCTGTAAATAACACTGCAGGGCCCATAGAAGTGCATGTATAGTTTCTAATCATTTTATTGAGTTTCTTAATATATATCCAGAAGTGGGTATGCTGGGACAAAAGAGAGTTCTGTTTTTCAATTTTTGAGGAAACTCCATACTTCTTTCCCCAATGGCTGTACCAGTAAAGGATTGTCATGAAATCTGCAAAGTGATGAAAACCAAGTACCTGCTACCAAGACTACTCTACCCAGCAAAGCTGTCATTAAAGGGAAGGGATTGCAGGAGAAATGAATGATTTCCCACCTGCCAGAGAGAAGGTTTGTGAGTCCTGTGTGTGTTTTCCTCTGACATGACTATCAATATTACATTCTTCCTCATGTACTGAACTGGGGAAGAATGCTTACTTAGCTGGGAGGATGCCTGAATCAGGTTATTATCTCCTAAGGAAATCAAGTCTTAAGTCCATGAAACACTGGTCAGTTTGGAAGGTTTTACCAAGATCAATTTCTTCAAAATTAAGTGAATGTGCTCATCATTTTCACAATGTCATGCAATGAATATAAATTTTCTATTTTCTTACTTTTTGGGTTCTCCTTGACCTAGTCCACTTCAGACATAAAAACTACCTCATACCCCTCCCCAAGGGGATATTGAGATCCTTTGTAAACCAGCTTCAACTGCCTCCAATCTTCATACTAAAAATAACTGCCTGTGTGGGTTTTTGAATACAGGAATGTGTATTTTGTTTTCACGCAGTGACAGCCATTTTTTGTGCCAATTATGAGTACAGTCATTCCCCCCGGAAAAATGTCTGTCTAGGTAAACTTCACCAAATGATAATGACTTGGATTATAGTTTTCACTGTGACATTTCATCAGAACTTTGGTAGGTAGTTCCTCTTATAGAGAAAGTCATAGCCCTCAATAATTGCAGTGATTATTAATTGTCATCTATTATTTTCCCCAATACAAAATACATTTCTCAGTCTCCAGATTACAATACCATATTTCAAGGTACAAATATACATGGAAAGTAAGAAATGGAAACTGTGATTCTGGTATTATCATACATCTCATCACTCTGACAGTCAAAAAAATTGAAAACAGTGAGTTTTCATTTTCTCAGTTTTCCATGAAATGAAACAGCACTTTTTTGTTAGTATCAATAAGTAGTGACACCAGGTTCCATAGCCAAGACTAAATAAAGGCCTCAGTTTTCATGAAAGTGTTTGAAAGCATCTTCTTCTTCAGCACTGTTTTACAATAATAAGAGCAATGGCCACCCTTGGAGGATAGTTGTCTACAATTGAGAGTAGAAGCTCAGTTTCCATGTTCATATACTAAGTCAGGTGCCAAAGAAAAAGTATCAGTGGAGAGGTGGTATCTATGTACAATATGTTACACTTATTTAGAATTGTGCAGTACATAAAACTTCTTAGTATGCTTTTATTCAGTTAATTGTGATATAAACCAGATCGCATATATGGGTGTTATGCACAGGGGTGTGTGTGTATGTGTGTGTGTGTGTGTGTGATATTCTTTGAAAGAATACACTTTATATGAAGAATACTGTTCTGCATAATAGCCAGAATACAAATGAAGATTTTAAAAGGTCAAAGATAAAAATTAATTTTATCTGAACATTTATACTGCATATTAGCCACGATATGAATGAGGATTATAATAGATCAAAGATAAAAATTAATTGTATTAAGAATATTTTTCTTAAAGGTTTTCAAACATTTGTTTTTACAATACTAATGCTGACACTTTTCTATAATTGCAAAATTATATATT